CTGGCCCTGGGCAAACATCCGTGCCCATCTTCCTCCACTTTATATGGGACGCTGCCACAACATGGCCTGACAAGCGGTGCGTCGGTGCACACCTGGGATCCGAACCCGGGCTGCCAGCAGCGGAGTGCGCGCACTTAACCGCCACACCACAGGGCCGGCCCTGAATAGACATTTCTTCAAAGAAGATATACAAATGGCCAATAAGCACATGAAAAGATGCTCAACATCATTAGCTATCAGGGAAATGCAAATCAAAGCCACAGTGAGATACCACTTCACACCCACTAGGATGGCTCTAATCAAAAAGATACTAAGTGCTGGCAATAATACGGAGAAATTAGAATCCTCATACATTCCTAGTGGGAATGTAAAATGGTGCAGCTGCTTTGGAAAACAGTCTGGCAGTTCCTCAAATAATTAAACATAGAGCTGCCATATGACCCAGCAATTCCACTCCTAGGTATATATCCAAGAGGAATGAAAACATATGTCCATACAAAAGTTCATAGCAGCGTTATTCATAATAGCCAAAAAGTGGAAACAACCCAAATATCCATCAGCTGATAAATGGATAAATAAAATGTAGCATATCCATAATGTTATGGGTTGAATTGTGTCCCCCAAAAAGATACGTTGAAGTCTTAGCCCCTGGTACCTGTGAATGGGACCTTATTTGGAAATAAGGTCTTTGTACATGTAATCAAGTTAAAATGAGGTCATACTACTGGAGTAGGGTGGCCCTTTAACCCAACGTAACTGGTGTCCTTACACAAGGGGAGAAAAGACACAGAGACAGACTCGCACAGAGGGAATTACAATGTGAAGATAGACACTTGGGGAAGAAAGCCATGTGAAGACAGAGGCAGAGGTTGGAGTTATGCAGCTGCAAGCCAAAGAATGCCAAGGATTGCCAGCAACCACCAGAAACTAGGAAGAGGCAAGAAAGGATTCTCCCCTAGAGCCCTCAGAGAGAGCACAGCCCTGCTGACACCTTGACGTTGGACTTTATAGCCTCCAGAACTGTAAGAGAATACATTTCTGTTATTTAAAGCCACCCAGTTTGTGTTATTTTGTTACTGTAGCCCTAGGAAACAAATACACTATAGGATGGAAATTTATTCAGCAATAAAAAGCAATGAGTACTGATACATGCCACAACATGGATGAACTCTGAAAACATGCTAAGTGAAAGAAGCCAGTCACAAAATGCCACAAATTGTATGATTCCATTTATACGAAATACTCAGATCTATAAAGGCAGTAGGATTGGTGGTTGCCTACGGCTAGGGTATTGGGGAACAGGATGGGGAGTGACTGCTAATAGGTATGGGTTTCTTTTTTTTTGTTTGTGTGTGAGGCAGATCAGTCCTGACCTAACATCCATGCCAATCCTCCTCTTTTTGCTGAGGAAGACTGGCCCTGAGCTAACATCCGTGCCCATCTTCCTCCACTTTATGTGGGACACCACCACAGCATGGCCTGACAAGCGGTGCATCGGTGCGCGGCCGGGATCCGAACCCGGGCCGCCAGCAGCGGAGTGCGCGCACTTAACCGCTACACCACGGGGCCGGCCCAGGTATGGGTTTCTTTTTGGGGTAACAAAAATGTTCTTAAATTAGACTGTGGTGATAGCCGCGCAACTGTCAATATACTAAAAATTACTGAACTGTACACTTTAAATAACGAATTGAGTGAATTACATCTCAATAAAGCCACTTAAAAGAAAAACTATTTGGCAAGATGATTCTAAAATTAATCTGGAATAGAAACTGTAAGACTAGCCCCCAAATATTACTTTTTAAATAATGAGCATGTGAGCTGATAAAGTATATGACTTCCAATAAAATAACAATTATAATAATCATGAGGGAGTATTTACTCTACTAGATATCAAAGTATAATATATATTTAATATAGGATGCTGTCGTATTGTTTCAGCAAAATAGAAAATTAGGCCACAAAACAGAAAAGAGTCCAGAAAGAGACTCTGTGTGTGAAAAATGAGAACATGATAAATGTGGCATTTCAGATTAATGGGTCAAGAATGGACTGAATATTCAGTGTAACACTGTTTGGAAAACAGTAATTATGCACACACCATTCTCACACACACAGAAATTTTTTAAAAACTCAAACATATAAGAACTCATAGGAGAAAATATAGTCATAAGAGAAAACCTTGCTTGCCTCAGCACTACTGACATGTCAGGCCAGAAAAATTCTTTGTTGTGGGGGCTTTCCCGTGTATTGTAGGAAGTTCAGTAGCATCCCTGGCCTCTACCCACTAGACGCCAGCAGCACCACCACCCCAGTTGGACAACCAAAAGATGTCCCCCGACATTGCCAAATGGCCCCTCCTAGAAGGCAAAATATCTCCCCCAATTTGAGAATCACCGGGATAGGGAATGATAGCCACAAAATACAAAATACACAGTAAAAGACCGACACATTAAACATAAAATTTAAAACTTTGGTTCAACAAAGATGCCATATGGTAAAAAGACCAGCAAAAACTTTACAAAGCACTAAGTTGGGAATAAATATTTAAAACATATATAAATGACAACGATTAATATCCAGAACATATAAAACACTACTACTTATAAAAAGACAACTCAATAGAAATAGACATTTTTCAAAAGAGGAAACACAAATAGCCAACAATCACCAAAACATGCTCAATCTCACTAGTAACTAGGGAAATGCAAATTAAAACACCAATTAGAACCATTTCCCACCCATCAGATTGGCAAAAATAAAGAAGACTGATACCATTAAATGTTTAAAAGAGCTAGGGAGGGGCTGGCCCCTTGGCGTAGGGGTTAAGTGCACGTGCTCCGCTGCTGGCAGCCCAGGTTCGGATCCCGGGCGCCACCGATGCACCACTTGTCAGGCCATGCTGTGGTGGCGTCGCATATAAAGTAGAGGAAGATGGGCACGGATGTTAGCCCAGGGCCAGTCTTCCTCAGCAAAGAGGAGGATTGACACGGATGTTAGCTCGGGGCTGATCTTCCTCACAAAAAAAATAAAATAAAAAATAAAATAAAATAAAACAGCTAGGGAAATAGACATTATTACACACGGTTGGTGGGCAGTTTGGCATTAAATGTCCACACCCTCCCACCCAGCAATTCCACCTGCAGATTTCTTTTTTTTAAAATTTTTTTGTGAGGAAGATCAGCCCTGAGCTAATATCCATGCTCATCCTCCTCTTTTTGCTGAGGAAGACTGGCTCTGAGCTAACATCTACTGCCAATCTTCCTCCTTTTTTTCCCCCAAAGCCCCAGTAGACAGTTGTATGTCATAGTTGCACATGCTTCTAGTTGCTGTATGTGGGACGTGGCCTCAGCATGGCCAGACAATTGGTGTGTCGGTGCGCGCCCGGGATCCGAACCCGGGCCGCCAGCAGCAGAGCGCGCGCACTTAACCAGTAAGCCACAGGCTGGCCCCTGCAGATTTCTGTCCTTGAGAAATGCTAACGTGGGCATTTCATGGACACAGACGCATGTGAAGGATGTTCTCTACCACATTGTGTCTAACAGTGAAAAACTGTAAGCAATCTATGGAATCTCAACATACTGTGGAATTTACAGAGCAAGAAGAAAGAATAAGGTAGATCTCTACACACAGACAAAGAAAGAGTTCCAAGACCCAATTTTAAGCATAAAAACTCAAGCTGCTGAATAGGTACAACATGCTGTATATGTAAAATATGCATTTGTAAAAGTTTAACACTAAGTCTTACATACAGATATCTTATAATGTACAAACATTTGTCAATAAATGTAAAGAAAAAGAAACAAAAATACACCCCCAACCTGGTAACAGTTTGGGGCAGGACATTAAAGAAAAGAAGATGGAGATGGAAAGAGATAGGTCAAAGAGAATCTACTTAGTTTAAACTTTTGACAAGATTGTAGGCACGAACTACAACTAAAATAAATATTTAAAAAAACATTTTACAGGCCGACCCCGTGGCTTAGCGGTTAAGTGCGTGCGCTCCACTGGCAGCCCGGGGTTCCAATCCCGGGCGCCCACCAATGCACCGCTTCTCCGGCCATGCTGAGGCCGTGTCCCACATACAGCAACTAGAAGGATGTGCAACTATGACATACAACTATCTACTGGGGCTTTGGGGGGGGGGGGGAAGAACAGTTTTATAAAAAAAAATAAAAAAACACATTTTAAAAATAAGCTCAACTTGAACAAGATTAATCATTCCCTTTCCCTATTAAATCTCCTTTCTCCGAACTTCCTAATTCTGATAACAAAATCTTTCGGTGCAGTTCCTTGTATCCTTCTAAGGCAACTAAAAAAATACGGTATAAATAATTTAGTGTTTTCAAGGAGTGGGTGATCTAAGGGAGTTTCCGTCCAATAGTATATTAAAAACTTATAAAGGTTTGGGTTTGTTTATATTTTAATAACTAGGTATCAATTTCATAATAAACAATCATTAAGGTTCTCTAGCTCTGATCCATCCCAGCGAGGCGAAAACAGCACGGCGGGACTCCCAGCAGGGCCCAGGGCAGCGGGCGTGCTCCGGGAGGAAAGGGGTGGTAACAACGGGGGCGGGGGTAGGTCCCCGCGAATCAAGGGGAAGGAACTGTAACCGGACGCGCAGGACACGCGCCGCCCAAGGAGCTGCCAGGTGCTGCGGGCTGTGCTCCTTTTTAGCTGACTGGGTCAAGAGGCCACGCAGGTTTGGCAGGTGCTCCTAAGGAGAGAAGGAGGTTCGAGGGGCAGGCCCGGGGAGGACGTGAGGGGCCGCGGACCCGGGTGAGAGCCTCTGTTGTGCTCCTGGCTGCGGAACCGCCCCGCCGCGGCCCAAGGGGGGCGAAAAGGCCGCGCCGGGGGGCGGGGAGAGGGGCAGGGCCAAGTGGCTTGGGGACGGCGGGGTCCCCGCAATCTGTCGCCCCCACACACGGCGCCAGTTCCACGACCCCCATCCTCCCCTCGCACAAGCCTAAGGACCTCACCGGCCTCTAATCCTCGCTTACCTACAGCCCTGGAGCCGACTCGCACACCTGCGGCACCTCCCGTGAAGAACTGGAACTTCCGCGGCCACCTGCGCGCACCCACCCGGATCTACTAGGGCCGAAACCACTTCCGGTCGTGCGGCGGGCTAACAGGACGTAACTCCACCTGGGGGGGGGGGGTCTGTACAAATGGGCGACGCCATGTTGTACGGAAGGTATTGGGACAGTTGTGGCTTCCCGAGTTTCTCCGCTGCTAAACAAAGGATCTGTTAAGTTGGAAAGGCTTAACGCCTTTTCAGAAGTGATGTTTTCGTTTTGGTTTCTTTGGTGGTATTTTTGTTTGTATTGGCTTTGGCTTTAAAGGGAGAAGCCTCTGGAACCCTCACAAATGCAGTATGGGACATCTAATTATTATTAATTAGTGTGAGTCGTGTTTCTCTGCTGCATTAATTTTCTTAACTGTTAAATGGTGAAGGTAAATAGGAGAGACACTTGTTTAGATAATGTATTCCTCATTAGCAGTGCATTTCATACTATAGCCATTATAATAATTTATGCCGTCTTTTATAACAATAATCACAATACCTTCCAGTTATATATATATATTTTAAAATTTTTATTTATTTTTCCCCCAAAAGCCCCAGTAGATAGTTGTATGTCATAGTTGCACAGCCTTCTAGTTGCTGTATGTGGGACACAGCCTCAGCATGGCCGGAGAAGCGGTGCGTCAGTGCGCGCCCGGGATCGAACCCGGGCTGCCAGCAGTGGAGCGTGCACTTAACCGCTAAGCCACGGGGCCGGCCCCTTCCAGTTATATTTTAAATGGTTCATCAACCAGTCTTTATCAGCAGCTGTTCTATGTGAGGCAGCTAATGTGTGCTACATGCTGTTGCTCTGTCATAGACTGTGTAAAACAGAAGGAGAAATGAGATGTGCATAAACAATATAAGGTATAATAATAGTTGCCATTTGTTGACTATGTGCTCACAGTGTGCTAGGAACTTTGCAAGTGTTTTACATGTATTATCTCATTTAATCGTCATAACAACCTTGTGAGGCAGTATCGTTATTATTGCCATTTTACGTGAAATGGAGAAAGGTTAAATAAATTTCCCAAGGTAACTCAGCAAGTAAGCATTGGATCTGGGAATCAAACCTCAGTATGTCTGGTTGCAAAGCTTGTTGCCCTCATCCTCTATATTGTATTGCCTCCAGGACAGGAAAAACGGTTCTAAGTTCCATTAGATAAGTACCCATAAGGGGGAAATTTCTGGCAGATGTAGAGGATTAACCTCTTGCATTTTAATCTGCTCTATCCTGAAACATCTAAAAAATAGAAAAGTAAAGAGGAAATGCAGATTAAAGCCACAGTGAGATACCATTACATACCCACCAGAAAGGCTAAAATGAAAAAGACAGAAAATACCAAGTATTGGCAAGATTGTGGAGCAACCAGAACTCTCGTATGCTGCTGAAGGGAACATAAATTGGTACAATCACTTTGTTAAACTGTTTGGCAGTATCAACTAAAATTGAATATATGCATGGCCTTTGTCCCAACAGTTTCACTCCTAGGTATATATACCCAAGAGAAATGTGTACATATGTTCACTAAAAGGACAGGTACAAAAAAGCTCATACCCATGTTTTGTAATAGCCCTAACCTGGAAACTACACAAATATCCATGCTGTTGGAAGTCAGGGTAGTGATGACTCTTGGTGGAGTAATGACTCTGGAAGAGAACATGAGGAGGCTCCTGAAGTGCTGATAATGTTTTATTTCTTAATCTGAGTGTTGGTTTACATGTGTGTTCAGGTTGCATATTTGTGGGCACTTTTCTGAATGCATGTATAAAAAGGTTTTTTTATTTAAATGAAAGTAAAGGAGTGAGAAGTTTATAAACCCAAAGAAGAAAAAGAACAGGAGAGGAGACAATAGCAGACAAACAAATATCAATATAATTTCAGAAGATAGAAATTGGATTAGAATGGCAGAATACTAACATTTGAGGGACCCTGTAATGAACTCTCTGGGTCCATAAGCAATCGCCCTACATTGAAGGCCTAGTCAACAAGCCCCATCTGTGCATAAAGAATTTCCAATCAGCTTTTTAGTACCTCACTCTTTGTCTTAGTCCATTCAGGCTGATTTAACAAAATACCATTGACTGGGTGGCTTATAAACAACAAATTTATTTCTCACAGTTCTGGAGACTGGGAAGTCCATGGTCAAGGTGCCAACAGGTTTTTTGTCTGGTGAGTGGCTGCTTCCTGGTTTATCGACAGCAGCCTTTTCACGTGTCCTCACTTGGCTGAAGGGGTAAGGAGCTGTCTTGGGCCTCTTTTATAAGGCACTAATCCCATTCATGAGGGCTCCACGCTCATGACCTAATCACCTCCCAAAGGCCCCACCTCCTGATACTATTATATTGAGGTTAGTTTTCAACATATGAATTTTAAAGGGACACAAAACATTCAGCCTATGGCACTCTTGAATATGAAACGACATCCAGGAATCACCAGTTATTGCAGGAACCTCTCCAATACCAATAATTACCATTTTCTAATGAACACGATAGACCTCTGCACCCAGCATTTTGAGAACACATGTACTTTTATACAAACTTTTACACAAAGAAGATTTAAGAAAATTAATTTTGATTTAAGCCATTGAGCAACTTCCTACCAATTGCAAAAAATTGCTATCATCAGATCTCATTCTCTGACCATATTACAATTAAGTTGGAAATCAATAATAAAATTATTTTTAAAACTCCATACATGTGGAGATATTTTGTTTTTAATTAATTAATTTATTTATTTTTTTCCCCCAAAGCCCCAGTAGATAGTTGTATGTCATAGCTGCACATTCTTCTAGTTGCTGTATGTGGGATACGGCCTCAGCATGGCCGGAGAAGAGGTGCGTCAGTGTGCGCCCGGGACCCAAACCCGGGCCGCCAGCAGCAGAGCACGTGCACTTAACTGCTAAGCCATGGGGCCAGCCCTATGTGGAGATTTAAAACATATTAATAACTGAAAGATTAAAGAAGAAATCCCAATGGAATATTAGATTTAAGAGGTAACAAAAATATTATATATGAAAATTTATAGGATACAGGTAAATTAATAACCTTATATGCTTTTACACTAGAAAATAAGACTAAAAATTATAGAAATAATCAGCTTAATATATTAGAAAAAAATAAAAGAATAAATCCAAAATAGGAGAAAAAAGAAAATAACAAAGCTCAGAGAACAAATTAATGAAATAGAAATATGCACTACAGATGGCCAACAAAACTCAAGTTAGATCTTTGAAAAGACTAGTAAAGAAAACAAAGGTCTGTGAGATTGATCCAGATAAAAGAGAAATAGCAACAAATATTATTAGGACTAAAAAGGGGGACATAATAAAATACAGCAGAGATTTAAGAAATTAGAAAATATGGTGAATAATTTTTTTTTTTGCTGAGCAAGATTGGCCCTGAGCTAACATCTGTTACCAATCCTCCTCTTTTTGCTGAGGAAGATTGGCCCTTGGCTAACATCTTTGCCCATCTTCCTCTTCTTTACATGTGGGACGCCTGCCACAGCATGGCTTGATAAGCGGTGCGTAGGTCTGCACCCGGGAGCCAAACCTGCGAACCCCGGGCTGCCGAAGCAGAGTGCGCAAACTTAACCATTACACCACCAGGCCAGCCCTGGTGAATAGTTTTATGCCAAAAAATTGATTAGAAAAGAAAATGAAAAGACAAGCCACGGAGTGGGAGGAAATATCTGCAAAAGACATATCTAATGAAGGACTGTTATCCAGAATATACAAAGAAATTTGAAACTCAACAACCCAGTTAAAAAGTGGCAAGAAATCTGAATAGACATCTCACCAAAGAAGATATATGATATCCAAATAAGCATATGAAAAGATGTTCAACATTATATGTTATTAGGGAATTGCAAATTAAAACAACAATGAGATATCAGTATCTCATTGAATAGCTAAATCCTATTAGAATGGCTAAAATCCAAACACTGACAACACCAAATGCTGACAAGTATATGGAGCAACTGGAACTCTCATTCATTGCTGGTGGGAATGCAAAATGGTACAGCCACTTCTGAATATATTTTATCAGTTTCTTACAAAGCTAAACATAGTTTTACCATACAATCCAGCAATCATGCTCTTATGTATTTACCCAAATGAGTTGAAAACTTAAGTCCACACAAAAACCTGCACACAAAGGTTTATAGCAGCTTTAGCCATAAATTGAAAGCAACCAAGATGTTCTTCAATAGGTGAATGGATAACCAAACTGTGGTATATCCATGCAATGGAATATTATTCAGCAATAAAAAGAAATAAGCTATCAAGCCACAAAAAGACATGGAGGAACTTTAAATACATACTGCTAAGTGAAAGAAGCCAGTCTGAGAAGGATATATACTGTATGATTCCAACAATATGACATTCTGGGAAAGGCAAAACTATGGCGACAGTAAAAAGATCGGTGCCAGGGGTTCCTGAGGAGGAAGGGAGGGGTGCATAGGTGGAGCACAGAGGATTTTTAGGGCAGTAAAACTATTCTGTATGATACTGTAATGGTGGGTACATGATATTATGCATGTGTCAAAACCCATAGAACTGTGCAACACAAAGAGAAAACCTTAAAAGTAAACTATGGACTTTAGTTAGTAATAATGTATCAATATTGGTTCATCAGTGGTAACAAATGTACCACAAGATGTTAATAATAGGGGGAAATGGGGTGGAGGAGATTAGGGGGAGGTATATGGGAACTTGCTGTACTTTCTGTTCGAATTTTCTGTAAATGTAAAACTGCTCTAGAAATAAAGTCAATCAATTTAAAAAAAAGATCATGCCGTGAACTGCTTGATTTATCTAAAAATGCTTTATTCGTTTATTCATTGATTCCAAGGACAACTTAATGCCAAGCTCTGGGATGACATGTACAGAAAATTCAAGAGGAACTGTGGCAGGAAGTGCTAGTGGCTCACCCAGTATCCATTTTCCCCTTCTGCTTAGTAACAGAAGTCAGGGGGCATTTAAAAATTCATTAAAAAATACATTTTTCTGTCTCCATTGGCAATAGGTATGGCCATGTGAGTAAGTTCTGGCCAATGAAGCATAAACAAAAGTTTTTGCTTTGGACTTTTGGTCAAGATCCTAAAAAGG